TTGTTCACAATCAACAGTAAAACCTTAATGAAACAAAAGAATAAATTTTTGTTATGCCAGTGTAACAGGGCCACACATCTCTGATTGGCTGATCAGGCTCGTGTGAGCATTCCTTCCCTGGAAGGTGTTGGTTCCATAAGAAGCTGAAAAGGAGGAAGAATAACAACCGCTGAGCCACAAAGAAAAAGAAGACATGTATGCCCAGTTTAGAATAATAATAAAAAAAAAGACACAGCAAGAATTTGAGCCAAATTAGCAAAAAATATAAGGTTGCAATACATATTTTTGTTTGCCACATACAGTGTTTATGACAAAACCCTGCAAATTTTGGGTTAGATTGTCCTTTGAATCTGCTAAGAGTTTAGATTCATAGTACTGATAGTAACGGTATTGTTTTTACCTTTTTTTGTGCTGTTTTACTGTGTTTTGTAGCAACTGTCTAATTTGTTATTCGCTTGCTTTTACTATTCTACTCCTTATTGTTATTTTATTCCTGTTGATGTTCAGAACTTTATTATCACTGTGGCGGGTATTAAAGCGTTTCATAAATAAAGTTGATGATGCTGATGATGTCAATTATTTTTAAAAATCATCTGAGAAATAATCAAGTTACACAAATTAAGACATAATTTTATTGCTTCTTTAAAAGTGTAGCAGAATGCTCAATATGCTGATAGGAAACATTTTATTGATACTTCAGATACATTTTAAACTTTGGTAAAGAGACTTTAAAGAGACTTCTTGTGTGATTATTTAACATCATTCATTGCAGCTGCAGCAGCTACAGGTTGTCATTACTGAATAACGGAATGGAAAGGAAAACACTCTGTGGTCCAAGGCTAAACAAATAACTTTGAAATAAGAATGTAATCTGCTTCTTGAGAAACAAACTCTTTTTTTTCTTCTAACAAATCACCATAAAACAGAAAATAAAGCTTGCAGTGTTCAGCTGTGTGGTATGATAAGCACGCAAACTTTGCTTCCAAACTTGGCTGATCGAATAATTCCATCTTTCCATTCACGGAAACCAATTATTTTTCCAATCCAAAGGTACCCGAGATACCTCCTGAATCTGACGAATGCAGCGTGGACAGAAGGTTTCTAAAGAGGAGCAATGAGTGGCTTGAGCCAGACATCTCTGAATGTGAAGCTGCTTTATGTGTAATCACAAATTGACATCCTTTGTGGGAATGCATTCGGTGTGATCTGTGGGTTGGAAGAGGCGGGCATCATGTAAGGCGATGCAGCTGCTCTGTCTTTCTTCCGTTCCTGCACTGAAGTGCTTCCTTACAAAGCAGCCAAATGTATCTCCTTTCAGCCAGACAAAATGGAGTCAGTGTGGTTCATTGGTGCCCCTCAGATAAGACTGAACAGGTGTCGGGATGACTCTCACAGAAACATCTGTTAATCACATTTAGTGAGAGGGTATTTGTATGTGTCCGGTTATTTATGAGCTTTTCTTTCTTAACTTAGCTGAGAATTACTGAATTATTTTCATAGACTTTCTATTCTGGAAGGATTGTCTTTGACTGAAATGTTAATTACAACAAGCAAGAAAAGTAGCAATGTGACACAGGAAAATAATATAAATATACAGTATAGAACTTCACACATATCTGTAGTCACTGAGTGGCATAGATTAATCATAATCTGATCATTCAGAAAATAAATGAAGAATGAGCAAAAGAAAAGACCACATTCATTTAGGTAAGGTCTAAATATGACTCTTTTGTTCACATTCTTATTTCTCTCTTGTAATATCTTCTATTGTGTACTGGTTTAGGTTAATTTGGTTAAGTTGGTATTTTATTTGGTGTGTCTTTTCTGAGTCTAGTCTAAGTCTTTATGTGCTGTTTGAATCTCTGTGTGTTTACTTTTGTGTTAATTAGTAATTACCCCCAGGTCAGCAACTGACGTTTTCAAGTTTAGCTTATTGGTTTATTTAAAAGGGAAGGTTTCCCAAAAAACAAATAAATTAATAAAATATGCTGTTCACCAGATTTAGCTTTAGCAAGTTTCCGTTTGTAGTCCCTGAGTAAGTGTGTTAATATTAATTTGGTCACGCAGTGACATACAATTTAATATCCATACATATTCTATTTAAGATCACTCTATGGGGTCATATTAAATTACCACAATAAAATAAATTACCTAATACCATAACTTCAGCTTTAAATGGCAGTGCTGACACTACTGGTTTTCTAAAAACATTTTCCTTACATGAAGAAATTACTGCTTTTGGTCAGAGGAAATGTTTTGACTGTTTTTACCATTTTTTAATGCCTTTATTTAAGTTATCACCACTTGATAGTGATTTGTTTTTTCATTTTAAGCAGTTTTACCTTAACTCATCCTGCCTCCCTTAATTTGCATTATAGTAGCAGCCATTCAAATGCCAGCCGAATGGCAGCACACTTACCTGCAACTCCCAGCAAAATCCCCTCCAACTTCCAGCCACTGGGGGTGCATAATTTTTTACTCTGACTCCACCCTTTCCCTTAATTACAGGGTCTGACTAGGAGAAGGCGCTTATCTTTAGATCTTAATGTCCACAAATCATAACAGAAAGAATATTTTAGTACAAAGGTTGATGTTTAAAAATTAATTGTAGGGGACCAGCCAAGGAAATTTTGAATAGCTATTACTGTATTCATGAAAGTAAACATTTACAAGTTGTTATATTAATCTTTGACTACGACTGAGCTTCATGCTTTGTGTCAGGACTCCTGTCTGTTAGTGTTTTCTGTGTTTGTCTCCCTTCCTCCACCAGGAGGCGCCTGGTTCTGGTCTGCCTCCTCACACACCTGCTGACGGTTACCTCGTTAACAGTGTGTTCTGAAGCTGCTGACTGCCACTACCTCAACGCCAGAGTGTTTGCCAGTTTTGGGTACTCTAGCCAAGCTGAGTTTTGCTGAGTAAAACTGAGTTCTTGTCAACCTGAGTTTTAACATTGTTGTCTTTTGCCTCTCGGCAGGAAGTCATCCTGCTAACTGGATTTTTCGGACCTTCTCTCCCTGGAAGGATCAACAGAGCTACAAACTGAGCTGGGGTTCAAACAGGAGGTTTCCCCAAGAGATAATTTGAGCTTCACACTGAGAAAGGGATTAATCTCCACTAGGACCCGCTCAAGTACCGCAGGAAATCTGAGTGGCAGTCAGTTTTCTCCGTTCACCTATTAAGAACCGCATTCTGGGTAAACCCTGTTCCGCCCTCCGCCGAAACAGACAAACACTGGAACTACAGCATACAGACTGGAGTCAAAGATTCAACAACTTCTCTGGAAATGTGAGTCAGCAACCAATTTCTCTTCTCCAAGTTCACGAGTCAAATTTCCCACTGAGCCTGAACTAACTGCTGTGTCTTCCCTTCACTTTTCAGTTCTCCCTGTTTGGTCTTCACCATTTGGGTCTGAACCTTAGTAAATTCATGACACTTTGTTCAAATGGAACTTAGTTTGAGCTTTCAACAAAAAAAAAAAAACAAAAAAAAAAACTTATCTATTTATATAAAAACATGTGCCATTGCTGGACATAATTGGGTGCATTTTACCAGACAAAGGAGCAAGAAGAAAGGAAGCCTATTCTGTATAGAGGAGAGTGACTGTTGGGGACTGTGTACCTGCTCCAGATAGGCACTCCTTTCAGCTACCAGAGCTATACCAATGCACTGTGCACGACCCCCAGACAGGATTGATCAATAAGTCACTGCAATGAAGTGGCACATCGATTACACCAATGACAGGACATTTACAGGTTTAATCTGTATAATGAGTCTAACCTTTTTCTTTCTGGGTGGCATGGGCCTGTCGCAGCCCAGCAGGGGCTTGAGCATATGCAAACATAATAAGATGAATGTTGTTGTGAACATGTGTTGTTGTTTAGGCCATTTCATTGTTTTTTTGTGGGATGGATTTCCCCTGCTGTAGTGGAACTGAATAAGGCTGAGAGAATATGATATATTTCTGAAAAAAACTAAAAAATAAATAAAGGATTCACAGCACAACACAAAACGCATCTCCGTAACATAGGAGTGTGTGGTCTATGTAACAACTGGCTCTGTGTTTCCTGTGCAGCTAAAGGTAAGATTGTGGTGCAGGGGGAGGATCGTGATTAACACAAATTCGTATGCAGTGTACAAGGCCCGCTGGTGATTAATGTGTGTCATGGTTAACTCCAGGCTCTGCAGTCTCTGTAGCATTTACAGTGTGTCCTCCTCCTCTTTGCTTCACCATTTCTCCCTCAGCTGAAAAGCTTACTTTGATTTTCTTTTTATCCTGGTGGAGCATAATCAGCTGACGCTCCTGTTTTGTTTCTTAGAATTCTTCTATCTTAAATTTCTTACTTTTCTTACACAGAAAAAAAAAACTGATTTAGATATTTATAAAATAAAGTTATTTTCCTATAGCAAACATCAGCACAACTTCTGCAGCAGGCAGGTTGTGATAAAATGATGGAAGGACTGTGGGGCTATTTTTCTGGTGTTGCTGAGATTTCCAACAGGTATGCTGTTGGAAAGTGTAGATTTATTTTATCTGTAAGTATTGGAATTTCATATCTTCTATGGGCCCTAAAAGTAACCAAAAATATGTTATCTTACAGAGCTAAGCTATAGACAAGGCCAGAAGCTTGCATTCAGTGACAATGATGCATATTTAAGTTCAAGCTTTACATTTACTTATTTAAACTACTCCACTTACAGGGAGCACGATTATATAACCAAAATAACTGTCAATTAATTTTATAATCTAATCGTTATCTATATATCTATCTTTTGATACAATGTGCAATAACCTGTTTCTCTATATTTGACAACTAGTGCAATAACTATATATATAACTATAAATATTCATCTACATAAATACCCGTGTAAACACCCTGTGCAAAAATGCAGTATAATAATCTTACTATAAATAGAAAATATATATATTTTTTAAAAAGCTGTCATATGTGGACAATCTGTATATACTGTATATATCCCATTCATCTTTTTCTTCCTTTGGCATATTATTCTTCTCTTTTGACTATTTGAGCTGATGTAATGAGTACATTTCTCCACTGTGAGATCAATAAAGTCAATCTATCCGTTCTTCCGTCTATCTATCTATCTATCTATCTATCTATCTATCTATCT